ATTATGCTCAAGAAACCAAACCTGCCATGCATAATATACATAGAATAATTTTTGTTTGCTTCATTAAACACCTAATACTGGGGGGGGGGGGGGGCAAGCAACAGCAAGAGGGGATGACAGCAAGTAGGGAACATCAGTGAGGCAGGAAGCCTCGGCGGACACAACATCTTTGTTTGTATGTGGTGCTGAGGATCGAACCCGGGGCCGCAGGCATGCCAGGCGAGCGCGCTACCGCTTGAGCCACATCCCCAGCCCCTGAGGTTGACTTCTAAGTGGCCATCTTCCGTCATCCTCCTGCCTCAGCCTCCCAAATTGCTGGGAATTTAAGTGTGTGCCACCACAGTGACTATGGACATTTGATTTTGACCACATATCCTGCCTACATGCTCATTTCCTTACCATCTCTGCAAATCCCTGGTAATCATCTGCTGCTTACATCTGTGTTTTCAAAAAGGAATGAAAGGGTGGCAGGACTCCTTAATTGCAGGCTTCTAGCAATACAGTGCCCTAAGGCCTGAGGCGGAGTCCATGCTGACTATAGGGGCTTCACTGCCCCAGAGGAAGAACCAGCTATGCCAGGGACTTATGGAGAACACTCACGATCCAAGCCTGCTCCTTCTGCTTTTCCTGAGAGGTAAGGAAATCTCCTTCCAAGACCCTGTTGTCGCCCAGATCTTAACTTGACCCATCTCACAAACTTTTGTCCAGGAAAGGATGAGCCCAGGAAGACATGAGACTCAGAGACACTGTACTGTTGAAAAGAAAACACTAGAAGAAAAGACACTTGCTGGGTGCAAGTTTCTAATTCCTGGAAGCTGAGGAAGGAGGATCCCAAGTTCCAGGCCAGTCGGGACAACATACAGAGACCTTGTCTCAACAGAAAAAATTAAAAGGGCTTGGAGTGTAGCTCAATGATAGGCATCCCTGGGTTCAATCCAAAAAGAAAGAAAAGAAAGAAAAAATAAGAAGAAAAGACACCAGAATGTCTCCAGTTTTTTACCCCTGGGTGATGGCATTCATTGAGTACGGATTTTGGTTTTCTGCTTTCCCCACATAGCTGTATAAAGCATTTGTGTGTGTGTGTGTGTGTGTACATATACAAATATATGTAAAATATCAGCATATATAAAATAAATCAACAGAATGAAAAAACAATAGTTTAAAGAATAGCCATATGAAACTTTATTTGAAAGGAAGTTGTGAAGGCAGGGTTTGTTTTGTGTTTATTCTGGGAGCGTTCCCTGAAGGACTCAACCATGAGAGCATGGCCCTTTTTGGGGCCCTCTGGCACTATCTTTGGGCCTCTGTTCTCTGGGGGAAACGTGAGCTGGTGTTTGCTGAGTCATCATGTGTGGATCACAGCTCTCCTTGGAGCACTGGCCTGGGGCATAGATCACTTTCTGGCCCATCCTCCCACTAAAATGTGGACAACAATCAACAAATTGTACCCATGCAATAGGGTGGAATGCAACACACTATATGAGATAAAGAAATATAAACAGCCAGGTAGGAATTAGAAGATTATTTTATTTTACTTTATAATTTTGAAATGATTTCAGACTTCAAACACAATTGCAAAAATAATACAAATGCATCTTACACAATCAGGACAATGATCAAAACCAGAACATTAACACTGAGAGAACATTGTTAAGCCAAAAGCATTGTTTAGGCTCTGCGTGGTAATGATTACATGCCTGTAATTCTAGCTACTCAGGATGCTGAGACAGGAGGATCACAGTTCAAGGCCAGTTTCAACAACTTAGTAAGACCCCATCTCAAAATAAAAAATATAAAGGGACAGGGATATATCTCAGTGGTAGTGTACCTCTTGGTTCAATCCCCAGTACCAAAACAAAAACAAAACATTATTCAGATTTCACCATTGGTCCCACTAATGTCCTTTTTCTGTCTCAAGATCCAACGTAGGATCCCACATTACATTCAATAGTCACGACACTTGGGTGTCCTTTACTCTGGAACTGTTTTCCAGTCTTAACTTGTCTTTTGTGACCTTGATGTTTTTGAAGAATTATTCTGTAGATCAGCATTGTCCAACGTAACATTCTAGGTTGATAGGAATGTTCTGTATCTGTGCCATGCAACATGATAGCCATTAGCCAGATGAATTGACATTTGAAATGTGGCTAGTGGGATTCAGGAATTGACTTCTAAATTTTATTTAATTTCAGCCAAAATAGTTACATGTGGCTAGTAGCTACTGTATGGGACAGGACAGCTGTTAGGTGGCCTTCATTTGAGGTTTGTTCATTAGCTTCAAATGTGAGCTTTTGGTCAGAATAACATAGGCATGATGTTGAGTCCTTCTTTGCCTAGATTTTTTAAAAGCTGTTGACAGGTGACAGGGAATCACCCAGCCAGGAAGCTGGATTGTTTTCATGCCCTTCAAGGTCCAGCAAAGACAGGGATGACAATTGCATTTGGAAGCCAGGCCCCACACTCCCAATGCTCTTCCTGCAAGAAGTAGATATGAAGCCACAGGGGTCAAGGTGAGTTGCAGGCACCATTAATTTTTGAACTCATCATCACTCACTCTTTTAGCTACACAATGTGGAGCTGGCTTAATTACAGTTGGAGTGTGATTTAGAACACTTCGTAAATTCTGAATGTTGTGAAACACCACAGGGCTACCAAGTAATAAAAATCTCACCTGAAAAGTGTTTCAATAACTTCCTAAATTTTGGTTTGGAAGCACAGGCTTTGTAGTCAGATCTTTCCTTAGCCATTTGCATGTGATCACAACCAAATCTATCGTAAATGTTTGAACCCTTGTCTTTTTCTTTCTTTTCTCCCCTTGCCACCCCCCATAATAGGGATTGAACCTTTGAGCTACATCCCCAGCAACTCCCATCTTTGAGACATTCACTAAATTGCTGAGGCTGACCTTAAATTTGTGATCCTCCTGCCTTAACCTCCCAAATTACTGGGATTACAGGTGTGTGCCCCTGAACCCTTCCCATTGATTTTTGTTTGTTTGTTTGTTTTTGTTTTTTGCCTTACTGGAGATTTAATTCAGGGTCTTGCATATGCTAGGCAAGCACTCTACCACCAAGCTACATCCCAGCCCCCATTGATGCATTTATTTATTTATTTATTTATGTTGCTGAGAATCAAACCCAGTGCCTCTCACATGCTAGGCAAGCGCTTTACCACTGAGCCACATCCCCAGCCCTACTGATGCATTTTTTAAAATTTTCTAGATATTGATGGACCTTTATTTTATTCATTTATTTATCTGCAGTGCTCAGAATCGAACCTAGTGCTGCCTCACACATACCAGGTAAACCACAACCCAGCCCCCATTGTTGCATTTTTAAGTATGTGTAAACTTGTGTAGCTACCACTCAGGACATGTAGAACAACATTTCCATCCCCTAGAAGGTATGCCTCTCTCCCCTCCCCCAGGCAACCTCCTCAGAGGTAACCAGTGATATGATTTCTATTTATGTACATTAGTTTTTCCTGTTTTTGAAGCAGTGCCTAGAATCAGGCATCATATGTTCTTTTGTATTTGGCTCCATTAACTGAACACTGTTTACTCATTCATAGGTGGAGAGATCCATCCATGTGGTGTGTACCCAGTTTGTTCTTTTATATATTTAGTTGTCAATGGACCCTTATTTTATTTATTTATATGTGGTGCTGGGAATCAAACCCAGTGCCTCACACATGCTAGGCAAGCGCTCTACCACTGAGCCACAACCCCAGCCCCTGTTAGTTCTTTCACTGCTATGTACTATTCCATTGTGTTGATTACACCATGGCTCGTCTCCTCATTCATCCTGCTAATAGATATTTGAATTGCTTCAAGAGTTTGCCTATTACGAATAAAGTCACTACAAATATCTAGTGCATATGCTTCTAGGAAGATGTACATTTAGGAGTGTTGCCTATGTTTAACATCAGTAAAACTGTCAAACAGCTGGGTGTTGTGGTATGCCTGCTGTAGTCTCAGATACTCCAGAGGCCAAGGCAGGAAGATCCCAAATTCAACGTCAATCTGAGCAAATTAGAGAGACCCTGTCTCAAAATTAAAAAAAAGGTTGCGTAGCTTAGTGATAAAAGGTAGCTTAGTGATAAAAGCTGGGTTCCATCCCCAGTACAAAAACAAAAACAAACAAAAAACCCTGTTAATTTCCCAAAATCTTTTAATCTCTCTTTGAAATAAGAAGTATAAACCTATTCTACCTGATTATTTTGAGAATATTCAATGGGCCCTTAGATAAACAGCGGGTATCTAATAATCGCTGGCCTTTCCCCACCAAGTGTCCGCTGTCCAAGCAGAGAAAGGACTCCATTAATGACAAACACTAAGAGAGGAGTGCCCAGACCCTTAGGCGAGAGAGGACTCTGCTACAATGCACTCAGGACTCAGGCCCGCACCCTCATCCAGCACATGCGCCTGGCAACTTGACATCTCTACCCAGCAAGTTTCCCGCCCAGATCCCGCTCAGATCCCGCTCCCATGGCCCAGTGTGCGAGTCGCCGGGCTAGGCACTCGATCCCCTGTGACCTTTACTTGTCACTCAACGTTTATTGAACATGAAATGTGTGCCAGGCCTGGGAGACGCTGGAGTGAGCGACACGAAGACCCTCTCTCCTCAGAGCACCCAGCTGGAGGAGGGGTTGCTTCACCTGAGGAGTGCGGGGATTGGATTCCAATCCCGCCAAGGACTCGGAGGTGAACAGCCCTCCAGGCTTCTGGCCTGAACCTGGAGTTCCCCCTGGAAGTGCTCAAGACAAATAAGGGAAGAAAACAATCTGCTCTTCTGCGCCCCCTGCAGGAATCTAGGTGCATACCCAACGCCCTTCGGAGCGCTTCCAGGACTACTCGCCAAGGCCAAGTGCCCGCCCCTGCCGCGGAGTCACCACCGGTGGCCACGAAGCCCCGCCCCCCTGCCTAGCCAATGGACGCACGGGCCGAGCCCCGCCCCGCCCCTTCCCTGTGGGGAGGGTTCCTTGCTGGAGACAGTGGTCAGCTGGTCGCTGGGTCGTGACTGCCCTAGGTAAGATCGCCGTCCCGGGCGCTGGGTCCTCTGGGCTCTGCATGCATCGATGCCCTTCCGGGAGGTAGGCTGCAGCTGCAGGAGCCAAGTGGGTCTCGGAGACCGCCGGGGCGCGCAGGGCCCGGGGCGCGGAACTCCGGGAACCGCAATTGCCAAGCACTTGTGTTTCGGGACCCCGAGGGCTCCTCGCGCCACCTCCAGCACCCGAAGAGAGTGGGTAGGTGGTTCAGGGCGTCTGCTCAGGCTCGGGGGAAAAGGTGGGGCCGGAAGGAGACGAGCTGAATTACTCCCGCCGCCTGCAGGCCCAGGGTGACCCTCAGGCTATACTGGGCCCGGGTGCGCCGACCTGTGGCAGTAACTCCCGGGAGTTCGCTGCCGCCAGTCCCTGGGTCTTGACAGTTGTCGGCTGGTGGCATCTGCTCCGAACAGCCTCCCTGCCCTCCGCGGACCTGGGTCCCGCCCAGGAATCCGATCCGAGGCTCCGAGGCCTGTCCCATGGGAGGGTGGATATTTCTTTCCACTACGCGCTCAGAGGCTCTAGGGCAGTCGGGTCGGAAACTTTGTTCCGGGGTCTGGAACACTCTGCTACCTCCTCCCTTTCTCTGATATCGAAGTGCCAGAGAAAGGGTGAGCATGAAACCAAGCAAGAACGACATTCTTTGTATGGATGCTGTGAAGCTTCAAAAACATCTTGTAGGACAGTCAGTTACCTGGGAATTAAGGCTGACAAGGAGAGCAGCCCTCTCTCAAAAGATTTCCCCTACTGCCAAGAGAAAGAGATTAATGTTGCATCCTCCCATGTGCATCTCCTCTGGCCACCCCCATCCCGCCCCCTCGACGACCTTGGCCCCTCTGCAGGCATAGATGCAGAGGGCTGGCTGTGTGGCCCTCACTTCCTCCAGGGGCCTTTGTGCTCTGTAAGGTACATAGCCAACTTCAGTGAGGTAGCACATCTTGGGTTCAATTCTTGTGTGGACCCCTGGCCAGCTGTGTAAATGGTATCACTTCTTTCCTGGGATTGTCAAGAAATCAAGTGGAAAAAAATCTCAGGATATGTCTATCTGTAGTGAGCCCTCAATCAATGTGAAAACATGGACTTCCATTCCTTTTGGTGGGGTCACATCACCCCATCTTCCCCATCTGTACCTTAAGGCTTGAGACTGGGCTGTGGAAGAGAGCTTCATGGGACTCCCTCCTAGTGCCCTCCTAAGTGCCATGGGAAGGTAAGGAGAAGGGGTTCCATAAATCTCCACAGAGTTGTCTTTGTGCATCTCCTGAAAGATCAGAAGACCCATAGCTTCCTGCTCTCTGGACTTTCCATCACTAGCAATTGTCCCACCAGGAGTCTGAAGCATGGTGGTCAACAAAGCAAATCATGCAACCTGGGGCTATGAGACCACCAGATAGGATTGCTGTCCCGCATCCTATGTGGTGAGGACCTGGCACCTGCAGCAGCTATAGGTACAGTCTATGATGCAACACTGTCTCTGTGCATGTGGGTATCATGCACACTGAATACCCACTTTGTCCCCTATCTGCTTCCTTACCTCTTTGACAGTGCTTTTGATATTCAACAACATCTTAAGCTTCACATGTTCAAAACAGACCTCTGGAGTTCCCTCTTCACCAAGGCTCTCCCATTGCTTCCCTGGCTTGGTAAATGGCACTTTCCTCCTACCCAGTGCCCAGGGAGTCATGCTTGATTCTCCTCTTTCCTTCACCTTCCTCATCCACAAACACCAGGAATCCCACTTCCCCTTGCCACTTCTGTGGTTATCATCCTGGCCATGTCCATCAATGTCTCCCCCCGAACCCCACCCTGAGTGGCCTCCTGACTTGTCTCCTGCTCCCATTGTGGCCCTTCCACAGTCCTCATGACCACCAAAGAGGACTTTGATGTAAATCAAAAACTCTCTTTTCCTTGTTAGAACCTTTAAGGGAGTTTTCTATTTTTCTCCAAATAAAACCCAAAGTCCTTTTCTACAAGAGTGGCCCCTAACAACCTCTGTGACCTTGATCTTTGCCTCTCCCCCTAGCTTTCTGAACCTCGACCGCACTGGCCTGCATTCTATTCTTCAAACATGCCCAACTCATTCCCATCCTAGGACTTCCTCATACTGTGCCCTCTGCCTGAAACACTAATCTTCTCACAGCTGAGAACAGCCCAACTCAAATGTCTCCAACTGAGAAGGGCTTCCTTAATTACCCCAGTTCAAGTAGCATGACCTTCTCCAGGATGTGTCTCATTGCTCTGTTTTGTTTTCTTTACAATTTGTATTGCTTTTTGGAATTCTCATTTAGGTATGTGTTTACTATCTGTTATCTCTCCTACCCCAATGAATATAAATTGGATAATGGCACAGACCTTATCTCTCTTATCCCCTGCAGCACTCCCTGATGGGGAGGCAAATAAGAAACAAGCAAACAAATACACCTATACTTGCAAATTGTGGCAAGTACATAGCTACCACTTGTATTTGGAATATTTTTAAACTTTTAAGCTTATATGTCTGAACTGAACAATTGTATTGTCAAAACAAACTCCCTGAGCTATTTTAAGGAAAAGGCTGGTAACTTGCCTGGGTCATACTGTGGTGTTCAGGGCAGTAAGTCAATCTCCTGCCATAAGAACACATATACAAGCTTTAAGGGTGAGTCTGCAGGCATCTTCTGGGAAGAACCTGATCCTAAACCTCATTCCTTTGCTTTTCCAGTGACTAGAAAGCTCCTTAATTTCTTAGTAACTTATTTTCTTCATATTTATAGTAAAACGATCCTTTTGTATGTGTGTTGGGGGCGGGGGTGTTAGGTCTTGCTAAGGTGTCCAGGTTGGCCTTGAATTTGTGATTCTACTGCCTAGCCTTCCAAATTGGGATGGATTACAGGAGCATGCCACTGAAGGGGGAGTCCTATTGTTATTATGTTGGACTTGTTTTTTTCTTTATTTTGGTATACCCCAAAGAGGCAGCACTTGTAGGTGACTCTCTTACTATCCTGCCTAAGAGTCAGGAGGGGAACAGGTATATCCCCTAGTCACAGCAGCTAGGGGCACATTGCAGACCCTCCTCAGCACTGAACAACCTGCAGGGTAGAAATGGGTCCTAGAAGTCGGGTGTGGTGGCACACGCCTGTAATCACAGCAGCTCCAGAAACTAAGACAGGAGGATGGCGAATTCAGAGCCAGCCTCAGCAATGGCGAGTCGCTAAGCAACTCAGTGAGATCATGTCGCTAAATAAAATACAAAATAGGGCTGAGTTCAATCCCAAGTGTCCCTGAGTTCAATCCCTGTTCCCACCTCTTTCAAAAAAGAAATGGGTCCTGGGTCTTCTGCATCTGATTTTTTTCTGGTCATCAATTGATTTTTTTTTTAAATTTTTGTTTTTGGGTACCAGGGATTGAACTCAGGGGCACTCAACCACTGAATCACATCCCTAGCCCCATTTTGTATTTTAATAGAGACAGGGTCACACTGAGTTGCTTAGTGCCTTGCTAAATTGCTGAAGCTGGCTTTGAACTTGTGATCTTCCTGCCTCTACCTCCTGAGCCCCTGAGATTATAGGCATGTGCCACTGTGCCTGGCCCATCAATTCATTTTAAACCAATTATTTGAGAGCCTCTGAGAACTAGGCAATATTAACATAGAATGTTTTAAGAAATAAAAGATTAAAGGGAATAAAGCAAAAATTCCAAAACATGGAGAAAGAATTATGATTTGTCCAACCCTGTTGCCATGTGCAATGCCTTTTCTTCCAGTCTTTTTACCTCTCTCTCAGTCCATTTTCCCTTCCCCGGGCCACAGCCCTATCTTTTTAGAAGCTGAGCAGCCATGGCCTTTGCTGAAGATGAGACCTATAAGTATATCCGCCTCCATCACAGCAAGTTTTGCTGTGTTAATGTTCTGGAGATTCTGCCTTTTCTGCCTTGCCTGACAGCCAGTGACCAGGTGAGCAGGGAAGTGACAATTGGACATGGGGCTGGGGGCTGGGCTGTGGAATTAAGCTCAGCCCCATGCCAGGTTTTCACCCAAGCCTGGGCCTACTACTTTTTTTTAGTTCCCCTCTGTCTTGCTTCTTGTGTTCTCTGCTTTTTAACTTTTAGATGAAACGTGGTTCAGGGTGGCTTTTCTAACCTTGCTGAGCTCCCTCTTGTGTTGTTTTAGTGTAGTGCTCAAAAATATGGCACTGACTCTGGTCCCTTTGCCCATTATTTTTTAGGTCCTCTTTTCTTCCCTGATGGTTTTTTTGTTTTGTTTTGTTTTGGTATCAGGGATTGAACCCAGGGATGCTTAACCATTGAGCCACACCTACCCCAGCTCTTTTTATTTTTTATTTAGAGACAGTGTCTCACTTAGTTGCAGCGATCCTCCTGCCTCAGCCTCCCAAGCTGCTGGGATTTCAGGCATGAGACACTGTGCTTGGCTCAGTTTTGAGAGTTGAGAGGGGCCAGATCTGTCCTGCCCCACCAGGACTTTCTGCAGACCCCTTAAACTAACTAGTTAGTGAAATGAATGAATCCCTTACAATTTTAGCTGTTCTCAAATGGTATCCCTGTGCTCCTAGTAGATGCCTGTGGGCTCTTTTGGCACCCAAAAGACATGTCCTCCAGTGTCTCAGGAGCACCATTGCTTCCTCTGTGTCCTCCTGTGTAAGTACCATTAGAGCGCAGGTCTGGGGTAGTTGAGTTTTTGTCCCAATTTGTATTGATGAGCTTGCGGACATATCTTGTTACCTCGTTTGTAGTAAATGTTTTCTCTGAGTTTTCATTTCTTCTAGTTGCTCTTTCTGTTTGTTTGTTTTTTGTTTTTTCCCTTTGGACCAGGGATTGAGCCCAGGGACACTTAACCATTGACCATATCCCCAGCCCTTTTTTAAATGTTTTATTTTGAGATAGGGCTTTGCTAAGTTGCTGAGACTGGCCTTGAACTTGCAATCCTCCTGCCTCAGCTCCCAAGCTGTTAAAATTACAGAAGTGCACCACCATGCCCAGCTAGTTGCTTGTTTTTATAAGGGAATTTGAATCAGTGTAAAAATGCAGCTGGTGTCTTCTTTCCAGATACCCCCTCCGCAGTGGCTCCCCAGAACCCTCATTCCCCCAATTTGATCCCCTTTCTTCTCTTCTTTGCCTCTTTTCATCTTATTGTTGCTACATACCTTTCCTTCTGCATCCATCCAAGCCTTTATCTTTGCTTTAGGGCCTGTCTAAACCCAAGGCTTTGCCTCAGATTAACTGGGTTTGGATTCCTGTCCCACTGCTATAGGATTGATGCTACTTTGCTTCTGCTAATGCCTCAGTTTCCTCATCAGTGTATAGGGATAATAATGGCATTAAATAAGAATTCATGTAAAACCACAACAGAGAGCCTAGGACATTGTCACAGCCTATTTCCTGCTAGCTGCCTTTATTGTTGTTGGTAATTTCTCTTCTTCACTCCATACCTGGGCTCCAGTCCTGGTCTTGTTCTGAGCTCTGACTCAATTTCAGATGGCTGACTCCTTCTTGTGGCTTTCTTGATGCCCCCTCTGCAGTGGCTCCTCTGTGGGTGGAGAAAGAATTGGGGCCACCTGGCTTGAGCAGGGTGGCTGCACTGTGTCTTCTAGGATCGACTACGGGCCTGCTACTCAAGCCTGGGAAACCAGGACACACTCTGGGAACTCTTCAACCGCCTCCAGCGCCGGACTGGTTGGGTAGATTTCTTAATCAAGGCACTGAAGATCTGTGAGCAGGCTGAGCTTGCTGAGGAAGTGGCTCATGTTTACCGGAGCAAACTGCTTCCTGGTGAGCCTCCCATCCTGGCCATTTCTGGTCACCCTGCCCCCATCACCCCTGAGCAATATACACACTTGGGTGTAAATCCTGGCAGAGCCACTTATTATCTGTGTCCCTTTGACCAAGTTCCTTAATTTCCCTGAACCTCAGCCTTCTCCTCTGCAAAATGGGGCTAATGGCAATGTCTATCACATCAGGCTGCAATAAATAGCATAGGATGGTACCTGCTGAGTATTTAGCTGGGGCTCAGCACCTCCCATGTGCTCAGTGCGGGGGGGACCTTCTTTCAGTTTTGTGGCTGTGGTGTTTGCCTCCTTATTTCCTCTTCTGTCTCATATTCCCCCATTCATTCATTCACCAACTCTCTCTCCACCTCCCTTAAGCTGCCTGATTACTCCTTAATTACTCTTAAGTTCCCTGGCTGGCTTGAGTGCCCAGAGGGAATTCATGGGATGGAATCTGACACAGGAAGAAAAACTGAATCAGCCCTATCTAGTTCAGACTAGAGGCTATCCCAGAGATCCTCACTCAGATTTATAGCTTTGGAACACTCATCTTCTTCCCCTCTTCCTTCCTTCCTCTCTCCTTTCCCTGGGGATTGAACCCAAGAACATTTTACCACTGAGCTACATTGCCAGCCCTTTTTATTCTTTTATTTTGAGACAGGGTTTTGCCAAGTTGCTGAGGGCCTTGCTAAATTGTAGAGGCTGGCCTCAAACTCGTGATCCTCCTGCCTCGGCCTCTTGAGTTGTTGGGACTACAGGTGTACATTACCATGCCCCTCCTGGCTTCTTTTCTCCCCCCACCTCTTTCTCCCTTCTTTCCTAACTGCTCTCTTCATTTGTGGAGATTAGTAGTGATCCCCCCTGAATACAAATGGTTGTGGTAGTATCTGGGGCAGGATGTGGCAGGGATCAATTAGGTATAACAGCCCTGAGAGAAAAAAAGTCTGGGGACATAGGAGGAGTGACCGCTGATGTAGCCTGGGTGGTCATGTGGCTCCCTGCCCCACTCATGTCTTCCTTCTCCCCAACTCTTCTCTGCCTCCCACTCCTGTCCCCATTCCCATGATGCTTGTCACCTCTGGGGTGCCTCCCATGTCAGGTCAGCGTTTAGAGCTATGGAGGGAGGAGGCCCCAGAGCACCCAGGCCTTGCCCGTCACAGGGAGAACCCCTGATTCCTTCTTGGTATCACTGTATCTTTGTTCTCCAGGGAACCCAACCTGTTCTCCAGCCCCTCAGGCAGCACCGGCAGCTCCTGGCAAGGTCCCAGGGCCCTCTGCACCTGCTGTGGCTCACGTCCCCTACAATGGCTACCGAGAAGAGCCAAGTTACCCCAGGCCTGTGCAGGACACACAGCCACCAAAGTCCCCAGGAGAGGTATGTCCTCAGGGTTCACCCCAGGCTGCCTGTTTTTATGTTCTTGTCTGCTCACTTCTGTGCCCCCACCTCCAGCCTCTTGGAAGTCTTTGCCTGCCTCCCACAAGTCATGCCTGATCTCTGTTAAGGACCCCAGGCTCCTTCAGTGGGGACCTGCTTCAGCCCAGCTCCCAGACTACTGACAAGGTCTGAGGCAGCCCCCAGCACTGTCATCAAACAGCTTGGGAGGCCACGCTTTACCACGTGGTCATGCGAGATGTTGAGCTGGGTGGAAGAACCTGGGAGTGACCAGACTGGGGAGTAGGGTGAGGGAACTGGAGGTCTTGGGTGGCTGGAGGGGCTGTAATTATCACAGTAAAGTTAAGTGTAGAGAAAAGATGACAAATTATATGGAGATATGATAAGTGGGCTGTGGGGTATCAGGAGACACCAAACTGTGGACCTGAAACCACAGGGTTTGTGTAGAAACCCCTGAAGAAAGTGCTATGTGCAGTGGAGACCTCCACATGGCCAGACAGATGGATAGGGACCCCCATGGGACAGTGTGTGTGTGTGTGTGTGTGTGTGTGTTTTAAAGTCCTGAGGACTGAACCCAGGGTCTCGTGCATGCTAGGCAAGTGCTCTACCACTGAGGTATACCCCCAGTTCCCTGGGGTGTTTTCTTTGAGCCCGTCAGTGTCCAGTTCCCAGATGTAAGATCATCTGTGGACAGAGGGTCTGGCAATGACCAGAAATAAGAAAAGAGCTCCTTTAGAAGTTGTCCTTAGCTGGGCACAATGGCGAATGCCTATAATACTAGTGACTCAGGAGGCTGAGGCAGGAAGATTGCAAGTTTGAGGCCAGCCTAAGCAACTTAGCAAGGCCCAGAGCAACTTAGCAAGACCCTGTCTCAAAATAAAAAACAAAAAGGGCTGGGATGTAGTTCAGTGGTAAAGCACTCCTGGATTCAATCCTTAATACCCCCATTACCACCACCAAAAAAAAAAAAAAAAAAAGGGAGATGCCCCAGGAACATCAGCTGTTCTTTGCCAGCTCTTGTCAGCCATTTCTCTCTCTCTCAGAGTTCAGAGCCAGCCCCACAGATACCCAGTTCCAGGGGAGTCCTGAGGAGACCTGCTGGCTCCTTGGAGCCCTCCTCTAACCCAACATCCCTCAGCCTTCCGACATCCAGCAGGCATCAGGAGCAGGATCGAGAACTGGGTGGTACCCACATAGCAGGTATGCATGGGATATGATGTTGGAGGGCCTGTTTGACCTCCCAAGTGAAGGTTAGGATTAGAGTTGCCCCTTGGGCTTCCTTGAACAGGAGCAAAGTGGGAATAAAGTGCATTTACCCCAGGTACCAAACCAGTTCCTCAGTGAGTGTATCAGTTAGTATTTGCTGTGTAACAAACAGTCTAAAAAACATTATTATAAGTAGATTAAAATACAAGCGTTTATTTAGCACACAGCTGACCCAGCTAAACAGTTCTTCTGGTCTTGGCTGAATTTCCTCTCCTGAACTCACTGATACATATACTTATTCTGCTTCTGACTTATTGGATGGGGCACCTTTATTCCCTTCCATGGGGTTTCATATCCTCTAGCACACAGGCCTTTCCCATGGCAACTGGACAGAGACTTCTAAGTGAAGAAGAAAGGACTCTTGAGGCATAGACTCCAAACTGGCACAGTGTCCTTCCTTCTTCACTCTGTGGGCCTAAGCAAGTTATAAAGGACAGCCCAGATTCATGAGAAATTGACTCCATTCTTAGATGGGAGGCCTATAGATTAGCCAGGACCTGGAGGATGGGGAAAGACAGTACAAAGCTGGTCTGGCTATTGGCAGAGGAGCCCTTCAGTACTGCCCTACTACCAAGGGGTGTCCAGTTCCCAGAAAGTCACTAAAATATCTCAACCCCCAGAGGAAGCATGTCTATCATCAGCCAGGTGCCTGGACACTACACCAGATCTCAGTACTCCCCCTCAAGGCTGTGTAGCTGACCACCCTGACCTGGCGTGTCTTTCTACTACTTCCCAAACTGTATTCCATATGACACTTGTGCCTGGCCTGCCCTCAGTACCCTGGAACAGCCACAAGGCACAGGGATATTTAAAAGTTAGGAGAAACCATCTTGTGCCCTCCACTCTTGTCACCCCCAAATAGTCCTGAGCACCTGTTTGCACTTTACAGTGTTATTTTGTCATGGAATGCCTTTTAGGAGGTGCTTCTATGAACCATGAAGGCAAAGGCACCTGATTTCAGTGCATTGATGGACACAGGTTCCACGAGAGTCTGTGGTACTGCATTTAGGGGAGGAGACATGAGACATCACTTCTTTTTTAGAATTTGGGGGGTTTTAGATATACATGACAGTAAAGTGTATTTTGACATATTATACATGCATGGAGCGTAACTTATTCTAATTGGGATCCCCATTCTTTTTTTTTTCTTCCTATACTGGGAATTGAACTCAGAGGCACTCAACCCCTAAGCCACATCCCCAGACCTATTCTGTATTTTATTTAGAGACAGGGTCTCACTGAGTTGCTTAGCACCTCGTCATTGCTGAGGCTGGCTTTGAACTCGTGATCCTCCTGTTTCAGCTTCCTGAGCTGCTGGGATTACAAGCATGTGCCACCATGCCCAGCTTGGGATCCCATTCTTGTGGTTGTACATGATGTGGAGTTTCAGGCATCACTTCTGACCTTTGTCAACCTTGGGGTCTGGTGTGTGCATCCTTAGAGTTCCTGATGACACTGCCTCTATGGGCTGTCACCCTGTGTCAGGTCCTCTTCCTAGGGTGGCTTTGCCTTACTCCTGGGAACTGGCCAGCCTCTGGTACCACTTGACTGGTGTGAGCAGTTCTGCTTGAGCCACCCTGCTGTCCCTTGCCCTGATCCAGTGTTGCTCCTGCTGGGGAGTGTGGGGGACAGCAGTGAGGGGAACATCTAGGATTCCACTAGCTAGAGAGAGAAAAAAGCAGAAACAGGACAGGGAGGTGTTCTGGGTGGGAGAAACAGAAGCAGAAAGAATAGCCAATAATGATCTTTAAGCTCCTGGATGCAGTTAGTGGGAAGGATGACATCGGTCTTGTGATAGGACAGACTTGGGGATATAGGTCAAGGACTGCAGGCAACAGTTGAGTCTCAGGTCTGAGAGCGATGACCAAAGGGACTATAGTCTTCTCCATGCACAGGTGATTGGGAGGCATGTTGCAATAGGGCTAATGTGATTTGAGACACAGGGACCTTTCCCCACCCCTGAGGGTGACAGTCCTTTGGGTTTATGCTTCTACTTTTGCTACCTGCAGGTGCAGTTTGCAGCTCCACATCAGCCTGTGGGCCTGTGTCCCCGACTGTCTCCTTCCAGCCCCTGGCCCGTTCCACCCCCAGGAAAAGCCACTTGCCTGGACCTGCAGTGTCAGCTCCTGCATCTGCTGGTCCCTCCTCCATTGCCTTGGCTTCTGTAGAGGAGATTGGTGACCATAATAAGACTGCCATCTGCTCTAGTGATGCAGAGGTACCTGCTGATTCAACAACTACCAGCTTACTGCCCTCCAAAGTGCCTGCCAACTCGGCCCTTGTCGGCTTGGGGCCCTCCAAGTTGCCTACCAGCACAAAGCCCCCTGGTGCAATGCCCCCTAAAGTGCCCTCCAACCCAGCACCATCCAAGTTGCCCATCAATTCAACACGTGCTAGCGCCATGCCATCCAAAGTGCCTACTGCTACCATGATTCCCACCAAGGTGCCTACCAACACAATGCCCTCCAACGGGAGCAAAGCCAAGGTGAGTCCTGGCCCCTCTTAGCAGTGCCTCAGGCCCCTTCCCTTTGGGCCCTGTCCTTGGACCCTTCCCAGTCTCCATCCTGTCTCTAGCCTGGGCAAGTCCATGACCTCTCCTTAAAGCTGTGGGGACAAGCTGGCAACCTGCCTCATCCTCTAGGAGGAATGACTGTCATGAAAACCCCTAAGTATCATTGCCTCAAGAGGGTCAGGCATGGGGCCACCCTACTGGTCATGTGCTTTAACTCACTGGGACTCAGCCTCCAGTTAAGCTTAGCAACACTGATCTGTCGATGAGGAAGCAGTGAGGGGTGGAGCATGGTGGCCCACTTGCCTTCGTGCCTTGCCCTTTGCCACCAGTATGTCTGGCCTGCCTGTGACCAGGCTTTCCAAACAGCAATTCCTGGCCAGCCAGCCTGGAGCAGCTGCTCTGACCCATTAGCCCCCATAGCTGCCCTCTCCAAAGCCTCGCATCTAACCCTACTGCTGTTGTCTGCCTCGAGGAAGCAAGTTCCTGAGGCTCCAGGACACTGTAGCTGCCCTGTGATCCTAAGGCCTCAGCAGTAGGGGCTTGCTGTCAAGGGCTTCCCTGGAGTGAGCTCACAGGCAGACCAGTGAGTGGGGAGAGGGCTGCAATGAGGCCATCAATGAAATGATACTACAAAGCCTTGGTGCCTTCTTCCCCTTCTGTCCTCTTCCCCACCAATGGTCGGGTCTCCAAGTGATGGTGTCTTGCAAGCCAGGATATAGGATGGGAACTGAGAAGTTTGGGCTTGGGCTACTAGTTCATGCCCTGACTCGAGAACAGGGCCACCCACTTTGTCTGGCTTATCTCCCTCCCATACCCATCCCCTTCCAGCACTTTCTTTTCTTTCCCAGGAGACCCCAGGGACTCCAGCAACCACAGTCACCATTGAAGGCAGCTCTCCTTGGAGGGGTAGCAGCTCTGGGAACTTGCCCTCTGAGGCCGAGCTGAGCAAGCCTGGTACCCTGGTATCGAGGGTCGATAGCCAGCCATTTTCCGGCTGTTCTGAAGATCTCGCTATCAGCAATTCTCTGGTCCTGGAGTCCAGCCAAGGCCCAGAGGAAAATGAGTACATGTCCTTTGCTATCCATGTGGCTGAGGGTCCCAGTGCTGACCTCCTGGATGGCAGCCCTGAACGACCTGAGGCCTCAGAGCCCCAGGAGGAGGAAGAGGAGGAGATGTGCCCAACAGCACCAGGGGCTCTGTGGTGGCTGGGGACTGCCGCAGCCAGCGCGCTCCTGGCGGTGCTCCTGGTAGTGCTGTACCGGCGGCGCCCACTGCAGTGAAACCTCCATTGCCCACCACATTCCCATGGTGCCCTTTCCCCAGGCTGGCAGGGGCCGGGTCAAGCAGGGGACCTCGAGAACTACGGGCCTGATGGAGGAGTGAGTTGTGAGGACAGCGTTTTCTGTCCTAGCTCTTGTCCTCTGCTTGTCCCTCACCATCCTTGGCTTTCCAGGCTCTAAGCGGCCCCCAGTGCTTCAGACCTTGCCTACCTGGTAGTCTCCCTGTGTGCTCCTAAGGAGGTCCCCTCCACCAGGCTTTGTCCCCCTTTGCCCAAGCCTGAAGATCAGGAGATGCCCCTCATTCTGCCCAGGTCCCCTGAGGCCAAAACAGGTGTTCTGGGTGGGGAATTCCCACAAGACCTTGTTCCCCGCCCAGCAGCTCAGCATCCTGACAGCAGCAAGGTGCCTAGTGTTCAGGGAGCCAGCTGCTTTGGGTTCCCTGTCTCTCTAGTCCCCCTCTATTGGCCAGCCCACCCTGGAAGAAGGTCCAGTTCCAGTGGACCCAGGGAAGCCAGAAGCAGCCACTAGACAGGAGGAAGACCCTTGGAGCCTTTCTCCAGTCCCCTTACCTCCACCTCTGTCCTCCATTCTCTTTGGCTTCCTACATGGATTGGGGAAGGGACCTGCCTAGTGGGCAGAATTCAAGCCAGGTTCAGATTTCAGTTCTTCCCTTTCTGGGCTGTGTGACTTTGGCAGATGTTCAGGCTCTCTGGTCTGGTTTCCCCACGTGGACAGTGAGCTTCTAGCTCATCCTTCATGGACATGGCATACAGGATGCGGCATCCCTCCTGTCTAACCTGGTAGAGCTGAGGGCTTGAGAGGCAGAGTGCACAGCAACAAGGGTGCGCTGTGCAGTGAGGGCAGGCTCAGGCTGTATCCTGCTCATCATCTCACTAGCTCTTTAATCCCAGGCAAGATATTAACCTCTGTGTGCCTCACTTTTCTCACCTGTTAAATGGGAGTGAAATGTCTACACACACACACACACACACATACACATATGTATGTACGTGTGTGTATATTCTAGTGTTGTCCTGGGGATTAAATTAGTTTATCTATGTAAATCTTAGTCTGAATCCTGGCATTTCCTAAGGACTGGATACATGTTATTATTGCTAATTAAATGGGCAGTGAGTAGAGCACTTGGCTATACCTTTAGAGGTAAACCCAGACCCTGCTACCTTCTCCTTTCTTATATCTTCCTCTTAACTTCATCTAGTACATTTGCAAGTTGTTGGGGAGGGAGGTCTATCCAGTGGGCAGCTGTTCTCCCCATCTCCAGCAGCCAGGGGTGTTCCACCACCTCCCTGGGTGGGAAGATAGCTATTCTCTTCACACATTGAGGTGCACTGGTGGGTATCCTCTTGGGTTCTTTTCAGGTGGCCTTTGCTGCACAAGTGGTAGGCACAGGAGCCTTCTCTATTTCTGGGCTCTTCAAGGGGCAAGAACTAGAGCCCTTGGAGACATCAGGGGTGTGGCTTGTTATGTAAAGCTCGAGGCAGCTTTACCCTACACTGCCCTAGGGAACTTCCGCAACCTAATGACCTCTACTTCTGAATTTCAGCCCCCACTCTAAACCCAACAGCCTCTAACTTGAATCCAGGTGTGGTCTGTCCCCAAGCTATCTATACCAGTACTTATCAATCCCTTGCTCTTAACCAACCACTGTATCCCCCACCTGTATCCCCAGGTGCCAGCCAGTCAGTTTGTGCACAGTCCTAGTTTTAATGTGCTAGCCTCCCAGGGTACTTTGGGGAAAAAAAAAAAAAAAAAAAAAAAAAAACTCACTGGGTGGAGTGGCCCATGCCTGTAATCCCAGCAGTTCAGGAGGACCAAATGTTCAAGGCCAGCCTCAGCAATTTAGGGAGAACCTAAATAACTTAGCAAGGCCCCATCTTTTTAAAGAATTAAAAAGGGCATAAAAGGAGACATAAAAATGGAATGTAGTTCAGTAGTGAAGCACCTCTGGATTCAATCTCCAGCACCCCCTGAAAAGAAAAAAAAAAAAAAACTGGCTCAAGAAGGCAACACGTAGTCCCAGAGAATCACTCACTCAACTGGGGGATTTCTTTTTGTTGGTGGTGGTGCCAGGGATTGAACTCAGGGGTGCTTAACCACTGAGCCACATCCTCAGCTCTTTTTATTTTTTTATTTCGAGACAGGGTCTCCCTAAATTGCTTAGGGCCTGTTAAGTTGCTGAGGCTGGCTTTGAACTTAATATCCACCTGCTTTGGCCTTCTGAGCCACTGGGATTATAAGTGCACCACTGTGCCCAGTCAACTGGTACAATTTCAACTACAGAAACCAGTCACTGTAGGCGATATATTGGATCAGGTGTGTGGGAAGTGTTCAGGGCCTTCCCAGCACATTTCAGACTATACCGCCACGAATCGCTGACTTGGCCTGCACTTAACACTATCCCCATCTCAGCTATTATCAATCTGAAGACTTAAATGCCACCTTCAGGCAGAAATGGGAATTAGAGTCCAGTCTCAAGAATCCTGTTCTGGATTGTGACTTTCAGCTGCAGGAAGGCTTACAAAGGAGTGTGAACTAGGAAGTTCACCTTCACAGCTGTGGCCCAGACAAGGTAGAGGCTGGAACACAAGGAAGGGAGGAAGGACCTCCACTCGCAGACGGGACTAGGGGACCCTTGAGGGCAAGGCTGAGTAGTCCTGGAGGGACCAATGCCCTCCTAAGTGCCCGGGGGCAGACCCACCTGCAGCAGAACCTCTGTCCACCTTCTTTCCCTGGCTGAAGCATTTCCTCAAAGCTCTGGGACTGTTGTGGTTTCTGTCTCTCAGGGAAGTACCCATGGACTTTAACCTAACAAAGCCAGAACAGTGCCACTCCTTCACTTCTCTTGCTGGCTACCCTCAGGTATAGGGAGCTTCTTAGTCAAGGATGAGATGAAGGTGATGCCCTTTACCCTGCCAGGTCTCAGATTATTAATACCGTCTTTTAGAAAACATTTATTATGGCCAGCTTTCAGACAAATGCAAAAGTAGAGAGACCAGAATAACACACTGCCCATCTCCTGGCTTTAATATCTTGGCCATCTTATTCATCCCTGCCTGTTGCCCCCTTCCTTCCTCTTTTCTTTGGTATGGGGGGGCATTGATTTCAGGGGCACTTTACCACTGAGCTAAATCCCCAGACCTTTTTATTTTTTATTTCAGGGTCTCATTGAGTTGCTTAGGCTGGCTTTGAATTTGCCATCCTCCTGTCTCCTCCTCCCAAATTGCTGCAATTACATCTATGCACCAATGCACCCGGCTGCCCCTTTTTTGAGTACAGGTTCTTTGTATAAGAGTGTGAAGGGTTCAGAAAGCCAAGGGAAAGACATAAGCTGGAAGGATTTTAAGATCATCTATTTTCTCCCAGGGCAGCATTAGGTAACAATGAAGCATCCATGTTGTGGTCTGTTGGCCTCTGTAGGTGACGTCCTTCTTGAACCAGTTCAAAGCATGAGCAGCACTGGACTCCATCTTAGGAGGAGGGGACTGCAAGCGTCCTTCCATTGTCAAGCTCCTTGGAGGTGCCTGCTATTGCTCCTGTCTCAGAGAAGTGACAACACATGAGACATATACCCCATGGCACAGCCCTTCCAACCAGCAGAAGTCCTCATGCTAGGCAATGTTCAAATTCCACAGTCCTAGGAATGGAGTCCTTGGGCCTTGAGGTTCCACACTTGCCATGGGTGCACTGTCATGCGCCTAAAGGCCAAGACCCACTTCCCCCTGGGAAGGGTGATGAGGGGTCTTTGGTCTGAAACGTCTGTGCTGGGATTGATACCGCTCCACAGAGGATAGTCACATGCTCCTTGCTTTCTTAGTTTTTTTTCCTTTATCCCAGGGCTAAGAGGTCCACAGGGGGTTCTGGGTGTGGTGACTGTGAACATTCTTCACTTGGCTGCTGCTAACAACAAATAATAATAAAGGTCGCCACTAATGTCTGACTTTAATTGCGTGCTAGACACTGTGCCAAGAGCTACACATATATTAGTTCATTTAATCCTCACAATGACCCTAGGAAAGAGACACCATTTTGGATCCAATTTATAGCTGGTTTACAAGACTGGGAGGGAAGAAAGACAAGAGGGACAATGACTCCTAGGCCCCAGAGCTAGATGCTTCTTACGTCTATGAACTTCAACTCACCTGATATCTGGAACAAAGTAAACCATTTAAAGTGAGATCATCACACCATCACATCACTGCCCAGTATGCCAAAATCTGCCACCTACTATAATAGTATAGTAACACTAGGTCTATAATTAAAATAATCTCAGGGGTGTCCTAATGACACGATTATAATCATTTTGTGTGTGCCCAGGCTCAAAGCCCTGGGGCTGGGTGAGGTGAGGCTGGTGCCATAAGAAAACTAGAATGTTAGTCTTCATGAAGCCAGTTCGATTTAGCAGACATCGTTTAAGAGTCATTTGTGCCAGGTCCAAGGCCTCTGAGGGTGCCTTCGAGTGGTTGGGGGTGTTCATAATGTGTGATACAGGCAAAAAGGCTTCCATATCATCCTTTCATATAATTTTACAGCAAATATTTATTTTGTACCCACTGTGAGCTAAACATTATAATAGGTCTTGATGACATAGATAATAAAGACCTCTCCCTAAAAGTCCTCTCCCACCCCCCACTGTCTCTAACCCAGTAGTAGTTCAATGGAGTGTCTCTGGAGCATGGCAGGGGCCAGTGAGGGGGAAGGACAAGTATTGTTTTGATCTGTTTTTTTTTTAAATTTATTTATTTATTAAAGAGAGAGAGAGAGAGAGAGAATTTTTAATATTTATTTTTTAGTTTTTGGCGGACACAACATCTTTGTTTGTATGTGGTGCTGAGGATCGAACCCGGGCCGCACGCATGCCAGGCAAGCGCGCTATCGCTTGAGCCACATCCCCAGCCCTTTGATCTGTTTTTGACTACTGAGAATTATAACTAAATTTGGAGCGGGGCGAGAAACAGTATGAGAGATAACATTAAATATTCATGAAAATGTGAATATGTTGGAGGAACGTAGGTTGGTGTTATGGCCTGAACATATATGTCCCTGCAAAATTCATAAGTTGGAACCTAACCCCAAGGTGATGGTATTAGGAGGTGAGTCCTTTGGGAAGTGATTAGGTCATGAGGGCTCCACCTTCAGGAATGGGATTCATGCCCCTAAGAGGACAGAGGGAGCTGTATGGTGGTGAACACATGTAATCCCAGCAACTTGGGAGGTTGAGGCAGGAGGATCACAAATTCGAGGCCAGCTTCATCAACTTGGTGAGACCCCATTTCAAAATACAAAGTGCTAGGGATATTGCTCAGGGTAGAGCACTCCTGGGTTCGATAACCAGTACTGGAAAAAGAGAGGGTGAAAGGCTTGAAAGCCCTCTGTTCCTTCCACCATGTGAGGACAGAGAAGTCCATATGAGAAAGCAGCAACCATATCTTTGAAGCTGAGACTGGACCTTTCTTAGACACTGAATTTGTTGGTGCCTTGATCTTGTACTTCCCAATCTCTAAAATGGAAATTTCAATGATTTCTAAATTACCTAATAAAAGGCATCTTGTAATAGCAGCTTGCATGAACTAAGCCAGTTGGTGATACCTTACTGGAAAACTGGCAGTTGTCTACTAGAGCCTAATATAGGCCTAAACCTGTGACCCAGCAATTCCACTCCTGGGTGTGTTCACAACAGAAACAAGAGTGCATGTCCACAAAGATGTGTGCAAGAATGCTTCTCAGATGCTCAAGTCCCTTGTGCAGTATTTGCACATCTCTGCACATTCTCCCATATAGTTCAAAACATCTTGAAATTGCTGAGCAAATGACACTCGCCTGTAATGCCAGTGACTTGGGAGGCTGATGCAAGAGAATGGCAAGTTCAAGGCCAGTCTCAGCAATTTAGTGATGTCCTAAGCAACTCATCTCAAAAAATAAAAAGGGCTGGGGATGTAGCTCAGTGGCAAAGAGCCTCTGGATTCAATCCCTAGACTCCCCCCCACCACCAAAAACAAACAAACAAACAAAAACTTCTAACCATCACACTGATCATACTGTCCATAATATCTCCAAAATAAGAAAAACCCAAATTGTCTATCCTCAGGAAAATGGATGTTATAATAAAGTCACACAGTAG